TGATCAGTTTCAGCAGCGGCTGACGCCAGTTCCGACTTACATACAGATTCAACTTAAGAACAAACCTACAGTCCCTATCTTGTACGTAACCTGGGGACTACCTGTATTTTTGTACTTTTTACAGCCAAAAATTTCATCATGCACCCGGCTATAATTAAGTTCTTTAAACAAATGTGTTGCTACGGTAGAAAAAAATTGTGTGATCAGTTTCAGCAGCGGCTGACGCCAGTTCCGACTTACATACAGATTCAACTTAAGAACAAACCTACAGTCCCTATCTTGTACGTAACCTGGGGACTACCTGTATTTTTGTACTTTTTACAGCCAAAAATTTCATCATGCACCCGGCTATAATTAAGTTCTTTAAACAAATGTGTTGCTACGGTAGAAAAAAATTGTGTGTGTCTGAAAACTGTAGGTATTGGGGGTACTTTATTTTTTATATATTATATATTTTTTTTTGAAAAAGGGGTAATTTATATAAAAAAAGGTTGAGAAACACTGCCATAGACCATTAGCAATCTCCTGAGACAGACAGGGCTTGCATTTACCAATAGCATTACAGAATCTTTCCATGAATGTAGCAAAGCATTGGCCTAACCACCTCCCACAGAAGGCACGGTAAGTTTACGTTGGACATCAGTGGAGTCAGTTATGCCAGTGCAATATCACATCCATAAATGGTTTGCAGCCACACCATATGCCCACACCTCTGGCTGCACGAGGGAATTCAGCTTTCTGTCTTCCTAGTTCCTGGGAACGGCTATATAATTTAGTTTGTTACCTCATAAGAGACAGTGCAATCTTTTTCCCCAGATCCACATGGTGGATCTTGAAGCCTCCATAGTTTGGGACTGTGTCTTCCTATGTGGTGCTATTTTAAAATGAAGGATATAATGCACTGGTTATTTCAGTGTATTAAGTGATCTGGACTCCCAGAAAATGTTGAGTAGAGTAGAGTGGCACCTCTGTTATAGTTGACTAGCTTTCTGCTTAAAGTTTGACTCTAAGTAATCTAAAATCTACATGCTTACTTGTATTGCTTTGAAATTGTGTGTGCCTCATGGAGGTGCAGGATTCTGACAGCCCCAAATCTGGATGACTATTTGGCCAAGGAGTTCCCAAGATTCAGCTCCTGGGTAAAAAGAACCCTGCTTTTGTTAACATTGACAGATCCTAGCAACCTATTTTTTCTCCCAGATAGAGATCAAGCCAGGGCTCAGATCATCACTCCAGGGTTTCAGACACCCAAGGATTACTCCAAAAGAGTGCACAACACCCTCCAGTGCTTTAGGGGAATCATATTAAACTTGAACTGAAAAAAGAAATTGCTTTAATCTATTTGCCTGCCTATTAGATTACATGGAACATGTGCAGATAGAGGAGTTAATTGGACTGTTAGTCTTCAACCTTTCACATCAGATAGCTAGCTTGAGCGCAGGGCTGGTGACAGACTTCGCTGGGCTCTGGAAGGTATGGCAGGGGCTCAACTCTGGGCTCCCCCAGAAGGGGTGAGGCCAGGGGTAGCCAGCCCTCAGCACTGCCCACACCACACCTCCCCCAGAAAGCCCCATTACCACAAGGACATGTCACACGGGGCCCCGTCGGGAATTTAAAGGTTCTGGGTTTCCAGCCACCACTGCTGCCACAGTATCAGGGGCAGCTGTAGCCTGGAGTCCTGGGCCTTTTAAAATCACTGGGCCCCAAAGCAACTGCCCCCTTTTCCTCTCCCTCGGCAGCTCTGCTTGATGGATAAGTAGTAATCCTCTAAATCTGACCCAGCCAGTCAGCGTCCGTTCAAGCTCTAGATTGGGCACAAACTTGGAAAAGATTGGAAGATCTGTCTCCATCTGATATGTTTTGGGCATGGGTTTAGGGGGCACAATCAAAATACTTTTGTAAAAAAAACCCACTAGACATATGACTGCTTGCTGGCATGGCTGGGACATTTTAGAGGCAGGAGTGGGGCAGCAGATGGTCTGCATTTCATCAAGGGGGAGGAGAAAGAGGAATGGGTGGGGGAGAGTGGTTGTGGGCCTTAGCCAAGGGACACTGGCCAGGGGGCCTGCAGAAGAACAGAGGCATTGGTGCTGGCCAGCCTCACATTCTCCCCTTCTGCTTGTCTGGGAGGGTCTGGATTGTCTGAGCATAGCCATCCCATCCATAGGATGGTTCAGGGCAGCTGCCCTAGATCCTGTGCTTTGGGGGGCCTGGAGTAGCAGCTTCAACCACCGTACGGATGTGATGGGTGCAAGGCAACAGCAGGGGTCACCCCATACCCACCCCAGCACTTACCCTGGTGGTAGGACCTGGAGCAGCCCAGCAGCCTGCACTGCTCCACCCTGTTGTCCTGTCCTCCCAGTCGGCTGCGCCTTGCTTCTCCATGGCACCCTGCTGCTACCCAGCCCCCAGCTTGCATCAAGTAGGGTAGGAGGTAAGGGGAAACAGAGATAGGGTAGGGGCAGAGCAGGATGGGTGTGGCCTGTAGTAGGGGAGGGCTGCCCTGGGGCCTGCACCTGGGGCATGGTGGGAGGGCAGGGGTTGCCCCAGACCCTGCACCACCCTAGGGACAGCTTGGTATCTGAGTCTCTCTCCCTCTTTGTTATATCTGGGATCTCCTGTCTCTTTGGTGTAGTCTGAGTCCATCTCCAGGATCTAGGGATGTTAGCTGTCGGATAATTGAATAGTTGTGTAACCGCATTAAATTGTAGTGCACACAAACACACTGAAACACACTGCTGAGACAGGGTGAGGAACTGCGCACAGTATGTTTGAAATGTCAAACTCTTCAGCGCTGGAGAAGGCAGGGGAGAAGAGAACACCCACTGCCGTGAATAGAACAGTTCAGAAGGCTCATTTCAGACTGTACGCCTCTTCACCAGGCATTCTGATTCAGCCAAGAACATTGTAGTGAAATGAATAGGCCACTTAATACCTCTCTGAGCCTGCAACTTTGAAGTTAGAAATCCAGCTTGGCCAGAAATCTGAGAATGCACTGGAAATATTGGAGGGAAATCTGCCACTGTCAAGCTGGTGGGTATGAGGGCACCCACCAAATGCTATCTGAGCACAGCAGAACACTCAGAAGATCCTGGAAATATTTTTGAAAAGAACATACATTATAGCTGAGACTGTGCACTGAGTGAGGGGGTGGGTGCCTGGGGAGCAAGAGTAGGTTGGCTTAGAGGTTTGGGTCTGTTCCTAGGGATGGGGTACTATGAGCATGAGAATGGGCTGTAGAGGAGGTTGGGGGCTCAGGAAAGGGGGATAGAGTAGGGATTAAGAGGAGTGGGAATGGAGAATACCAAAAGGACTGAAAAACATGAGGAGCAGCACAGCTCAGCTGGG